CAGGCATTTGGATACAGAAAAGTGAGCAGGTTCAATACTACCAAAAAGCATTTCTGTTGCATATTTCTGATGTGGAATGATAAGGGTTTGGCTGCTTTGATTTACCTCAGTATTTCAGAATGCAACAGCTTATCTGATGCCTGGTGGCAAATGCATACCAGTTCATATGAAATCCAAGATTAAAATCATTCTRTTAATTCATAAAATAATTAAGTTCATTTTTAAAAGATTTTTTCCCATAAGTGAAAGATCAATATAACCGTTTTTAATATGCCCCTGGAATTGTACTTGTGAGGAAAGCACATGTAGAATTCTGTGATTTTATTTTTTTTTCTTTAAAGACAAAAATTCTGGGAAAAAAGGGATAATCAACTTGTTTGTTGCCCATCAGAGCAAGCAGTGTTCTGTAAAATAGACATGAAATGTTAACAGTGAGGCACAACAAGTCAAACAGAGAAGATCATTTTATTTTTTTCTCTTATTGGAGCTTGCCCAGATTGGTGACTAAGTACACAGCCAGTAAGAGTTCTTTAAATTATAACTGCAGGCATAGATGGGTAACTGGAAACCATCTCTCCTTCAGATGAAAGCTAGTGCTAAGCCAAGGAAAAATAGTCCTGRTTTAGTGGGTTTGTAGTTATTTTTCAAATTGAAAACAGAAAAACCTCTGTGCTCCCTAACTTTCTGTCAAGTATTTCAAGTTGTTTGCTGAATCCTCTGCGTCAAAGCTTTGTTTAACAACTCTCTAACCCGCTGGAATAGTCGTACCGTGTGAAGGAGGGAAAAAGCTAATGTCTTGCATCCTTTCCACCATGTAAGGTACCTGCTCATGACAGCACTGGTGAAACACTCAGGGACTACCCAGCTCCAGGTAATGGTAATTAGCTCTTACTGCAGTCTTTTCACAAAAGATGAGTGGAACTGTTTTGCACTGTCGAATGCTTTTTGTCTCTGAAGAAATGGGAGGTGCAGTGTGGGTTACTGATCGGAGTTCTTACATGAAGTGAGTAATTTTTGTAATTGCTCTCTTGTAGTTTGCCTCCTCTGAATCCTGCCTAATACTTTGTGTAAAGAAATGGATAAGTTTGAATTGAATACACCAATGCTTTTTGTAGTGAGTCACCCGTTAAACTATTGCAGATGGCTTCTTAAATTACCACCACCGCATCCCCTAACCTCTCTAGTGGAGAGCTGGGTTGCAGACGGCAGAATGCGCTGCAAGCTCCAGGCCATCCTGCACTGGCCTCTCTGCTGCTGTGTACCCTCTGCGTCAGAGTCTCAGGCTGTCTCGTCTTCACCAGAGATTTTCCTCCTCTCTCCATGAGTATTTAGGGTTTTCATTCACCTAGCAGGTTAAATGGCATATAGCTGTATTTGAACTGACTGACACATCCAAACCAAGCAATTGCCAAAAGACAGTTTTGATCTTCCCTGACTGCCTCAGGCCATCATGGGCATGTGATCCTGATTCAGGAAAGGATTTGACCTCTCTCATTTATGCGAGTCAGATATTGGGAGAGGAAAAGAAGAGAAAGCATGTGATCCATGAAGAAATCCCCACTGACAGGTCAGGCTAGAGCTTGGCTAGTTGGAAAATCACCTCAMAAAACTGAGAAACATTGCTCAACATTTCAAATCCCGATTATTTTCAAATCAGAAGCGAGGTAAAGTTTTGCATCCCTTTTTTAGATGACAGAGTGAGAATGCCTCCCATTTTCAGGCAGGCAGTGAAGCTCTAGAAGCTTCTTCACATAGCACTGTGCTTAGTAACAAGGATGTGACAGATGCCTCTTGGCTCTGGAAAGATAGTTTTCTTCTCTGAAATAATAAGAACAAGCTACTGTTCTATGTGGAGCTACGAACATCAATGTAACGTAGCTATGTAACACCAGCAATGGTATATCTATTTCAGTTTGTATAAATATTAAGTATTTAATATAGGATTATGTGTATGTGTAGCTACCCCTTGCAATGCAAGTGGTAGATGCAATTGTTTAAAAAAAAAAAAAAAAAAAAAAAAAGGGAGAGGGGAGGGCATTGCAATTCCCTAGCACCAGCAGCAAAGAAATGCACCTGAGGCTTCTCCTGTGACTTCAGGGTCTATGCTGACCTCATTCTTACCCAAGAGGTAACTTTCATAAATGCATGCAAGAAAGATTTCTGCATTCAAAATAGGGTGATAATAAGAGATTAGTGCTTTGCTTCATCTGGAAATGGATGAGGCATTTTCTGCTGGAAAAAGTCTTGCCTGGCAAAGCAGTACTTGGTAGCTCATCTCAGCACCCAACAGAATTCTAATATAAAGATTCCTCTCTGTATGAATAGGGTGTCTAAGCAAACAACTAGGAGAGGAATGTTGCTTTGAATCAAAAAAGTGCTCACAGAAAATCCCTACTTCTGTTTCTTACTAGTTGGTTTCAGAAACATGCAGTTGCTGTCAAACAGTATGGTTTACTGCATATTAAATCTTAAAAAGTTTTAAGCTTTTCCAGAAGGACGTAGGCAAAATGTATGGCCTGCTCTCGTTATTTTAGGGTTATGCTGCATCTCATATCCAAGGGCCTGAGGTAATTCCCACTCCTGACTCACTATCTAAGTAGTGATTCATCACTAGTATCTTGGACACTATTGTATGAAGTAGTGCAATGCTGCCAAATTAGATGTGTTCACTGTGGAATATTTAAGGGAAAAAAAACTCTCARTATTGCCTCTCTGATGATAGGTGTGACTTTGGGGGGATATTAATCCTAAGTCTGCAGTTTTAGGATATTTTTCTGGGCTCACACTTAACATCGCATCCCAAATTTGGACTGCCTGAAAAAACTGGCATTCGGGAGTATTGAAATCTGAACTTGCAGGCTGCAACCATAAATAAGTGAAAAAAAATAAGTAAATAATGGAGTGGTATTTCCTGAAGATAAAAATTTTAAAAAATGCCCTAGCAGAAATATCTGGAATATTTGTATTTCTTGCTGTTGTTATGCTGTTAGTGTTCAGTTAGTTATTGTCACAGCGGAGGTTTGCACTAGCTTTTTAGCCAATTGCATTTTATATGTTTCAACTATTTTTGCCTCTAATTTTCTAATCTATACGTCCCTCTAATGCCTAAAATGCTACTATAGTAGAACAATTTCATTTTATCACCTTGGTCCTTCATGCTCTAAGGTTGTAGTCTGTAAAAAATAAAGACAAGCCTTGAGTGCAGAAGCAGCCAAACCACAAATTCTGATTTAGACCTACTTGGCTCTTTGAAATCATCACAAGCTCTGGGCAGTGAGTCAGCCAAGAGCTGGTTTTCTCTTCAGTATTGTATAAACACAAGATGTTTCCTCAGGCAAAATATTGCTAAGAAAAAAAGACATATTTATTTTATTTTTTTAATGGATTTTTTCCTGTTTTAATGTCATGTATTGCATGAAAAATGATTAATATTTAAAGCTACCATCTGGGGAAATCTGAAAGTCCTTCTCTTGCGCTTCTCCATCAATTTGGTTTTGAAAGTAAAGTGTTTTTAGGGTAGCCTGACTTTTAATATGGTTCTGTAAATGATACTATTATGGATCAAACCACTGACAAATATTTCATGTGTTGTAGGAAAGTTTGCTTTAGAAACTGCAATTTCATTTTAAGTATTAAAAACAAAAAAACATGAGCTCCTTGCTTGTGTAATTTCATTTTGTGAGCAGCTTCGCATGTGTTTAGGTTTGGAGCTTGATAATTTGATTTATTTTAGCTGTCTTGCTTCCATAAATGAATATGATAGCTTTTTAAAACTTATCACCAGGGAGTTAAACCCATACTTTGAAGAGATGTAAATAAACCTAGAAATAAGCATGCTATTCTCAAGATTTCTTCTCTTGCTATATTGTCCCTTTCCTTATTTCACAGGATGGAGATGGGCAGGGTGTTTGTTTTTGTTTTTAAAGGAGGAATAAATGGCAGTTGCACCAGGTTGTTCCATTTTCACTTGCAGGTGTAGTATATTATTACTCGGAGAAGAAAGATGTTTCCAGGGAACAGAAAGCTGACTTTCAAATGCACAATATTTTTATGCAATATCTATATGACTTGTGTAATAGAGTAACTTGACCAAGTGTTAGGGTGAAACTAGTTACTGTCTGACTAGTTAGCTTGTTTAAATATTTGGAATAAATGATGTAAAAGTACCGGTATTTAATTAAAAGTGAGTCTACAGATATGACGAGAAGAGCAAATTACTCTGGGGACTACAGGCAATTATTTTTTATTAAAGTCCTTTTTAATTATTGTTTAAGAAATCTTGAGTCAGTAAAACTGAGTGTATAGGTTTGCTTTCTGCTTTTATTTTTTGATATAACTAAACGCTTTTGTTTGGTTAAAACTCAAACCAGGGAATGCTTTCTTTTGTAAAACCAGCACATACTGTCTGATTTAGGTATTTATTAACATAGCACTTGAAGTATTTATTCTGCTGCCATCTATGATTAGTGGGTCTTTTTTTCTTGCTTTACTTGCAATTTTAAAGATGGTAATGCTCCTGAGAAAGTAGTTTTATGTCATTAAGAATATGGTTTAAAATAATAGAAGGTCAATCAGAGGTTCTGGGTAGTGGGGAAAAAAAAAGATGTTAAGAAAATATATTTAATTAGTGTCTGATTGTGGGCTTAGCGTTTGTTTAACCATGACTCAGAATGAAGGAAAGTGTCCCACAGGCGTGTGCATGCGTGTAGCAGGGAGGAGGCAGCGACTCCAGCACGCTGCTGCGGCCCAAGCAAGGCCCGTCGCCTTTAAAGCAACTGCAGAAGGAGCTGCACGCACAGCCCTCTGCAGTCGCTGTTTACCTCACTTGATAAAAAAGACAATTTGTAGTGTAGAGAAACTTGAAAAGCAGATGAGAGCACATACAACACCAGCTTTACAACAGAATTAAAATCCCTCTTCCCTCTCCCCAAAGCAAAGACACACAGGAAAAAGATGTATAATATGACCTGTTTTTTTTCCTTTTTCCCTCTTTTTAATAGTGCGGCTTCATGACAGCATATCAGAAGAAGGATTCCATTACTTAGTCTTTGACTTGTAAGTATGTATTTTCCATACATATCATGTTGGGCATGTGGTATGCAAAACTTGTGGATGTAAATTCTTCACAAGATAAATTTTGATTTCGGTGYGACAAGTTGGACAAACTGTAAATGGAGCTAGAGGAATAGACAAATAGATGATAATTCCCATGTGTGAGAACTGTCTTGTGTTACTTTAAGAATTCCACATTAAAACTTTTGAATAAGTAGGGCTACTATTGAAGTAGATATAAATGTGAGTTGCAGGCACATAAATAAAAGCTTTATGACACTTACAAAGAAAATGTATGACGCAATAATTTGCTGCAAGCTTATTGTTCGRTGAAGGAGGTATAAGTAAACATGTAAAGGAATTGTTTCCTCACAGAAAATCTCTATTGCTGGATTGAAAAACAASCCTGAGTTTCCTAGAGAGAAAAAGACTCTTTGAAAATTTTATTCCGGTTTTAACTGATACGTAAGATTATTTGAATTTTGACACCAGTCTGAATGTAAAATGGTCAGCTTATAGAAAGGAAGCTTCTGTCATATTTCTTCTTTTGTTTCAGGAATTTGAGTCCTGGGGGCTGTGTTCATATGGTGTGGATGTGTGTGGTGTATACATGTCTATAAGACGGAGGAAAACAAAAACATGTATTTTGTTGAGTTGGAGCTTGTTTCTCTTATATAATGCTGTTTAGTAAAAGAAGGAAGGGGGTATTTGACAGATTGAAGTATATGTAACAGGCTAATAAACAGGTTAATTTGAAAACAAAACTAAAGCACTAAAGTTCTTAATTCTTCCTTGGGACAGGCAAAATTTTCCGTTCATGTGGAAAGTTACTGCATTTGGTTCTGGATATGGGCAAGCATAGCTAGGAATTTTCTTGCAAAAATGGCTTTATTTAAATTAAAACAATCTGTTTTAAATGTGGATTTTTCCAGGACTATGTTTATGGATGTGACAAATCTCTCCTCTCTTTCTCCCGATTCTCTGGCATAGTTTTTAACCAAAGAAATCTGTGAAGACCTTTTCAAGGCAGGACTGTACTAGCAAGATAGAAATATTAAATCGATAGTCTGTGTGCAGTCAAGGAATTCGGGGTTCGGTAGCCTGATCAGAAGTGGGCACAACTTGTATCTGACCTGTATGTCCCAGAGAAGTGTTCAGACTCTTGGGTCAGAAATCCTCCCGGGCATAGCATGCATACTTGCTCCCTGTACGCTCTTCTGTTGTTGGGGATGGTATTTGTTTTTAAGCTTATGTATACAAAGGAAATCTTGCTATGTGGAAGWGAAAAAAATGTTCTTAATCCTGATCATTCCCAAGAAATAGATGTGGAATAACTACTTCCAAAGACAGTGTCCTTGCTATAAACAGAGAGCCTTTTCGCTATGGGCTATGTATGGTTAGAAACTATGGCCTGTTGCAGTTGCACTTAGTGCACTTTGGCTTTAAATTGTGTACATAGTGTGAGACCCATCTCAGGAGATAATGGTTGCAATGACACTTAAACAACATCAATGTCGTAGATATCTGTATATATTTCTTAATTTTTGGAGAACAAATAGAAAGCACTATTCTGCAGTAATACTAATATAAAGGCAATATATAACTAAGAAATACCCTCCTGCCAAAAAAAAATAGCTTGTCTGCCAAACATTCTGYGTTGGAATGGAATTTCTATTATTTCACTGTTAGTCTAATTCCTAACTTTCCATGTGTATGAACTCTTACACTGACATCTGGAGCAGACCCTGTGTTTTTGTTATCACCCTCTTTAAAGAAGGCATCAATATATATGCACAGCTTTTTTGTCTTGATAATGTAGTTTTGGTTTTCTGTCAAAAAGAATTATTTTGCAATGAGAGAATATCTGAAGTGGTAGAGGTGGTTGCTGCACTGACTGGTAATTGTCTTTGAGAAAGCAGGATAAATTCTTGAAGAGGTTTTGCTTACTTAGTAGGAAGTGGCTTACTTAGTAGGAAGTGGCTGTTCAGTGGTAATTTTACATATGAGCTAAGAAGTAGTTGCTTTAATATTCACTAATATCGATTAATTTTCACTAATCCTAACTAAGAAAACTTCTCTTTTCTTTTTTCCTTTTTCTTTTTTTTTTTTTTTTTTTTTTCTTCCCTGAATTCCTGTGTGCTTCTTTGGCTTATTTAAATATCCATGAAAGATCTGTCAAAAGCACATCATAAATACTGTTTGAATATGAAGGTCAAGTACATGCTTTTATTTACTTCTTTTTTCCACTAGAGTTTGACTGTGGTGTAACACTGTCATTCCACCTACACATGCCATCATGTCTTTATCTTACTGATTTCTTTCAGACTGTGTGGGATTCAGTACTACTGTTTCTTTAGAAATTCCCTTGAGACTACATCCCACGTGARAGAGGGAAAGGGAAGAGTATTTTTCTTTGAATATAATGATTGTCACTCTCTGTTTTCAATTCCTAATAATCCTGATAGAATTAGTKTCATAGAGGTGTCTGCTGTCTGAAGAATAAGCATCATTTGTATTACTTCACTGATAGAGAAGAGGGGAGAAAAAAAAAAGTGATTAATGTACCATGTTACAGACTTGCATTTGGGTGAAGCGTTCTAATGTAAAACGGAAAGATGGAAGCCCTTTCAAATCCATATAGATTCTGCACATGTAAGTGTGAAAAATGTGATTTCTGGTAGTAAGAATGTTCTATTTGCAAGATAGGAGTGTTCCTGTGAAAAGTGGTACATATTAAAACAAAATAGATGCACTGAAGYAATGTTTTGACATGCCATATACATTCTTTTTGCCTTTGGCTGCTGACTCTATCTCTCAGTGTAAGATTGAAATATGTAAATGATAGTGTAACTGTGGAGCCTGGTAGTTACTTTGTACTCAAGCAAGAAAGTAGAGATTTTTGAGGGCTCAGTGAAAGTACTGGCTGGGAATTTTGTTACTGAGCTGTCAATGTGGTTCCACATGTCTTAGAAAATAAGACATCACAGCCTCCTGTGATACTTCTCTCAAGCAGAGTACTTGTTCCTGCCATATTTCTGCTGCTAGATGTAATGAAATGGTTTTTTTTCAGATTAACAAAATGTGCACAGTAAAATTAGTAATGGTCTTCATAAAATTTCCTACTTTTCATCCCATTTTTGGCTAAGGCAATTGTAGCTTTGTCTCTCTCTCCATCAACCCATTCCAGTCACCAAGCACAAATAAGATTTTTTTCGATGTTAATGATATTATATGAGTTCACAAGCAATCAGTTCTGTCAGTATTCATTGTTGTATCTGAATGGGAACAGCTGCAGCACTTGAAGACTCTTTTATGCAGGTCAATTAGATTCTCTTTTTCTCATAGTCTCCAGTTTTTAATGCAGTTGTTGAGATACAACAATTGCTACATTGAGAATTCCAGCATTGCTGTAGAATTCTAAGAGGAGATACTATAGTGTACAGAAGAAAGAAAAATAAATTTTAAAAGGCCTAATTGCAGAACAATCTCTGTGAGGGGTAAGTACCTGAACCTTTGTGTCTTTTCTTTTTCAGAAAGAAAAAGGTCACAGATAAATGTAAAAATACGTGGCTGTGGTAATTTTTGAACCACTTTACTTACAAAAGCAGTTTAAAMATAAGGAATATAAGCCAGGAGGAAACAAAGCTAATGTGATCATTTGCAGAGGATTTGTATTAGCATTGCCATTTTGAGAACCTGTTGTGTGGCATTTAAATATTTGCTGAAAACCATATATATTTTTTCTAACAACATAAATATGGCACGTGAAGTAAATCTTTTTTTTGTGTGTAACGTGTAGTTAAAATGTTTGCAACAGGCTTTGACTTTTAGCACTTTAAGTGCAATAATTTGTTTCAGCATGTATAGAAAGTTAGTCAAAAACACTTTTGAAAGGAGCAGTTAAAATTTTTCTTAACAAGGTTCCCTGGAGATTAAATGAATGTAACAGACTTYGTATGCGAAATCCTCTGCTCGCTTCTCCCAGCCATTTTTTTGAAGGACATACCTGCTGCAGAGAGCCTTGCTTTCTACATGGTGCTTACACTTCTCCATKCTTTATTTGTTTTCCCATGTTTATTTGTTAGCAAGCTCTTTAGAAGGTTGCAAATTAACAAGAATAGTTTGTGAGAACAAGTGACTGTTGCAGCTTTTACAGCTGAAGTTACTAGAGCCCCTATAGTGAATGTCATGAACTCGGATCTCGTGGACGTTGGCAATACACCTGCAGTGGAAAGCCCTTCAGATCCGTTTACTTCCTGGCTTTTCATCTCCTGGGGAGCAAGTGCTTGGCAGCAGTTTGTACAACTTTCTAGTGCATGGTCATTTTTTTTTTTTTCCTGTTTACTATTTCCTTATACAATCTTCCCTTACATTCTGTATAGACTGTCTGCATATGGTTGGAGATCTAATCTAACCTGATAGTTTAGATTACCTTCAAAATTAAGTGCACTTTTTTTTTTTTTTTTTTTTTCCTGCATGGTATAGTGTATCAGTGTTCTGTTAATTAAGCTATTAGAAAAAGTTAAACAGAAGCAGCAGTGGAAACATAGATGTAGTATATATTAATTTACTTATGTAACTGGATTTCAAAAACCAATCCGAGTATTTCTGGACTTTATGATCAGTACCTCTTGGATTTTGGCATACATCTTCATGTAAGTCACTTTGCTCCTAATGGTAACAACACAGTAATGCTTGAGCCATGCATTCTTTAAAGAGYACATAAACTTTAATTTCAGGTCGTGGGCATTTCAGTCCTTTGGTAGGCAAGCGAAAAGTCATGACCAAGGATCTCCTGTATTTTTGTAGTCCACATTCAAACTAGATATCTTAACTCCATTCCTAGTCATCATATGTCGTAATTGAAGATATAGGTGAAAAAATACACTTAGCAAAATGACGTCTAAGAAGGAGCTGGAATACTTTGAAGCCATCTTGGTATTAAACTGTATGGAGGACAACAGGAATCATTGGTAACTGTTCTATTCCTTAAATATAGAATCATGGAATGCTATAGGTTATGTATAGGTTATATATATATATCTATATTATCTACATCTATAGATATATAATATAGGTTACAGAAGACTGTACTCTCATCTTGAAGCAGGTCCAATTGGTTCAGGTTGCTCAGGAGATGGTCAAGTTTTGAGAATCTTTAAGGATGAAAATACCAAAACCTCTTTGGGGAAACAAGTTCATGATAAAATACAGTAATAAGCATTGAAAAAAAATATCAGTTTGGATTTTCCCATGTTCTAGAGCTTCATTCTGTCTTTGTGTGTCCACCCCATAGGGAGCTGTAGACAGCAGAGATCTCCTCTGAGTCTTCTATTCTTTTAATKTTTAATAAGCCTACTTTTGCCAGTCTTTCCTTGTACATCATGTGCTCTTTATCCTCTGTCTTGTAGCCCTCCTGTAGATTCAGTCCAGTATGTCAATGACTGTCTTGTACTGGGGAACCCCAAACYGGGCACATGAGTGCCAGCAAACGGGGGGAAGAATCACTTCCCTCAACCTACCAGCCCTTGTTCTTGGAAATACCGTGAAACAGTTGACCTCCTTTGCTGCAAGGACACATTGTCAGTTCATGTAGTGTGCTCAGACCAGATACACTGCTAATATTATTAAGAGTTTTCTAAGAGTAAAGGCCCAGAAGCTGCAGGTACCTCTCTGTGGGCACCTCTCTCTGGGCAGACTCTCCCTGGGCACCTGCACTACCTATCGCTCTAGGCATCTGCCTGACTTGTAGCAATTGCTCCTAATTTGCCTTTCAAAGTGACAGTGTGACTAGCTGTTGACTAGTTGTTTGCTTGTCAGCATGAAATTCTCCTGTTCTGTTCTTGCTTTTCTCACCTTTTAACAATGAACACCAGCTCAGATGTTCAGGACTGCAAAGCCTCCTGTTTTTTTTCTGTGTCTGAGTAGAACAAGCACCGGTTTGGTGTTCTTTCCAATGTGACTCCCTTGGATGACAAAAACTTTGTGGTTTGTTTGTTTTTTCATTTTTTATTTTGGCTTGCATCACAAATGAGCATTTCAGGGAAGAATAACATCAAAGGATGCTTTGTTTTTTCTCATTTTACAAAATGAGAATTAGTCCTCTTTAGGTAAACTGTAGTAGATAAATGTATATGAAAAATGAGATCTCAGAGACTGTCAAAATATGCCTCAAKCAAGCTTTTGAGCAACACCAAACCAGCAACACTTTCTGGAAGGTAGAAGTCACAAGAAGWGTGACAGAGTACAAATTAGGCAACATGTTTTTTTATTTCCTACAGACTTGACTGCAGATTTTTGTTCAAAATAGTTTTCTRTTGTAAGAAAGTGATTACTTTCTGAACTCAGAAAGGTATAAACTCAGGGAGGTATGATGTACCTCAAATGTATATGGAAGAAAGAAAACAAAAAATTCAACCATCTTTCACAGAGAGTTGAGGTACYGACTGAGCATTTAATTTCTATCCTCAGCTAATATGACTAAATAACTGGAACCTACAATGGGCTCTTTATTACAGCAATTTGAAAATGAATATTTTGGTTTGTAAGATTTCAAATATCCTCACTCCTAATTTTTGACAGTATTTGAAAAAAAAAAAAAGTATTGAGACGTGATGTTAAGTTAAAGAGTTTTAAGTTTGGRAAGTTATGAACAACAGACTGTACTATATGAAAGCTTTTCTTAAATAATATTGAAATATGAGTATTTCATGGAATTGACGTTTTGGGAAAGAGGAACCAGGCTAACTCATGTGTCCTGTACAAGGTGCCCTGTTGAGGCTGTGCAGGTGGGTATTCCACATCACGTGCCTTTCAGGGCCTGTGTCTGCTTTCAGCAGTCAAACATAGCATCTGAATACATTCAGATGTGCATTTTGCTGGGGAAGTGTGCCAGCATCCTCAATAAAAGAAAATTTAGAGTGTAGAACTGSAAAGATCGTCCTCTTTCTGAGCCCAGTCTCTTGCTGACACTGGCAGCCAAGTTTTATGAGTTTGTTAAAAAGCTCATCAACCTCCATCTTAAAAGAACACCTGTCTCAGTTTCTTTGCCAAATACCGTTTAATCATCCCAGCTATATCATAGTTAAAAACCTGCTTCAGGCCTATATTTACTCATGGATATTTTATGCTCATTTATTGTTGTGGCAGCATTGTCTCCCACAGCTCTCCTTTATGTTATTTATGCTCTCTGTCTTCAATATTTATTTTTGGAAAGTTGTCATGGATGTCTTGAACTTTGTTTTGACAGGCTGTGCTAGCTTTGCTTCCTCTGAGAGGACAGGATGAGTAAGTGAATGGATAGTCTAGTAGCAACTCTCTGTTCATGTTGTTGTTTTTATGCCCCCTTCTTGAATATGAGTTACCAGAATGACACACAATATTTGGGGAATGATTTCATTGCTATATGGAAAAACGTTTTTGTGTCTCTATTTTAAAAGCATTCCAGGACTATGGCAGCATCCTGTTGGTCGTTTATTCTGAGCTGTCCTCCTTTGATTGAATAATAGCACTTGTATTTGTTTTTACTTTTATTATTCGTCTTCTGGATCGTACAGTTCTTCATACTGTTAATGCCTCTTCGTGTAATTGGTGACTTCACTAGAGTATTTCACCTTTCTTGATAAAATCAAAGCTGTTCAAGAGAAAAAAAAAAAAAAGAAAAAAAAAGAAAAAAGAAAAAGTCTAAAATGCCATTAAATTGAGTAAGATACTCCACTTCTACTGAAATGTGTCTCCCTCCTACTCAGTAATTCTCCTTTTAGCAAAACAACAAGATTGCAATCAGACTGGCACATGGATTCAGTCTCTGTTGTCTTTCGATCTACACGTGGCGACCCTTCTAAGGATTATTGAATTTTCCTTTAACTCTAACTGCAGCTTGGTTGTTGCAGTTCTCCATTTATCCTGAGCTTTTCAGAACTTGAGCTACAGCTTTCCTCGTGGGTCAGTAACCTTTCATCCCTATGGGTTTGTTGCTTACTCTTAACACCCTTTTCTCAGTGTTGGCATCTTGCCCAATGCGCTTTGTTTTCATTTGGTAATTCTGATGCTCTTGCACCACAGCCTTGTTATTCATATAACATTTAGATTGACAGACTTTAGAATGCAGTTCTTCCACGCTGTTGTCAAGACCTCTTTCATTTCTGTACAGATATTTTGGTTATTCCTTCCTGACCTTTCCCTGTTGAACTACATTTAAGATGCATGTTTTCACTTCTGAARGATCCTTGCCTATCTTGCTTTTATTAACAGAGTCACTGGAGGTGAACTGTTTGAAGATATAGTTGCAAGAGAATATTACAGTGAAGCAGATGCCAGGTAAGTAATTTGTTTTTCTGATGCTTCCATTTGTAATTCTAGCACTGTTATTTAAGTATCTCATGGTGTTTGGCATCTGTTAGAGTAGCACAGCATTTGGGACTCTAGGATTTCTCCTAGAGTTCTCTCAGACCTGGAAGAGCTTTGGAGTTTTGAGCTTAAGACTGTGTGATGGGAAATTCATAAAATCTTCTGTCTGCTGATCTAAAAAAGATGAAATTTTGTCTTTTAACAAAKAAAAATTTTTTAAGCCTTGGCTAGCTTGTGGAAAAAATCTTTTTCAATTTTCTTTTTTGTAAACTRGAAATAACATTACAGCTTTGTCATTCAGGGTTTCTCATATTTGTTAGTAGACATCTGAAATGCTTGTTGGTTTTGAAAATAATTCARTATTGAATACCACATTTGATCTGGATCCAGAAAGATTAATTTCATTTTCATATTTAAACACTTTGTTGTGTTTCCTGAATAACCAATTAGTCCGGGCATCGCACAATCTGCACTCAAATCTGAAATCTCTAGTAATTTACTGCAAGTGCTTGTTTCAAAAACTTGAAGAACAAGTTGAGTATGACCATGTTTGCATGCTAATACAAAGTAGCAGGGACATTTTTTCAGTTAAGGGTCCTTTTACCCTCATTTAGTAATAAATGTGACACACCGTGATCAATTACTTTATTTAAATAAAATTTGTCATACTGCTGCACTCTTTACAGAAAATTACTTGCAAAGTAAATTTAAAGAATCGCTATGATTTTGTGTGTAATCACGTACTGCTAGTGATAAATATTCAATATGCATAATAGTCAGCCGTTTCTTGATATCAGGAATTCATAATACATGCCTGGAAAGTGTCTATTASAACAGTGGTAGGTTAATAATGAACAAATGAGAAATTAGGCTATAGGTTAGCAAGTGTCCACACACTATTTAATAGTCTAATTGCCAGGGAAATGATAGAAACGTGACTACTTCAAACTTTTAAATCTAAAATAAGATATAGTAGAGAACCAGACCAGTAGTTAAGGTGAGATGCAGGGGACAGGATGCGGGGAGACAGACATACAACTATTTCACAAATAGTTGCATGATTTTAAACATCTTGAATTAGGCAGAATTTTCAATATTGATGCCAAAGGCCAGCGTATGGTGTCCTTGTGTGTTCTAAGATAATTGTGATTATAGAGGAAAAACTGTAATGTCTTTTTGTTTTTAGAATTATTATATGTTTGAAGAGGCCGTGCATATGTTTATATGTGTTATATGTAGCATATATATGTATATATTTAGTAAAAAATTGATCAGTGAAATATGTAGTTGTCATGCATCTCTTTTTTATATATTTATATATATTTGTGTCTATATATATATATGTATAGTGTATGTGTGTGTTATCCCTCTAGAGATAGTTATGGTCTTTATAGATGATTGTGTCATCATCATAATACTGGTCTGCTCCTGCAAGCCCTTGCTCATGCCAGTAGTCCTTATTCCAGTGAGCAGTGCAGTTCACTGAGTTGTGAGCTRCTTGCATAAGAAAGGGTTTCAGGTTTGGGCTCCAGTTACTGATTTATGACCATTCCTTCTAAATTCCATGGCCAATATGTTTTAGATGAGCACTATCAGATTCTTGGTCCCTGACCGCTCTATATTACTTAGGCACACACTTCTGCCGCAATGTAATGTTTAAATTTTTTTTCTAAGTTCATGTGGTACCAAAAAACATCTGACACAGTTGCAATGCTGTAAAAGATGAAAATTTTAATTGTGCTTCTTGGCATTATAGGCTGGCCAAAACTTGCAAACCTGGACATGGAAAAATTGGTGCTAATTTGTTTCTTAAGCTCAAAATAAAACTTTTGCCCCCATCTTTTAATGTAGATTTTCATTTGATGAGTGACTCCCAACCAAACTATTGCTTGACTCTCTTTTAAATGGAAATTTATGCCTCCTTTTTGAATGACTTGGCATTACTCTATTAATAGTTGAGGAAAGTATTAGATTCAAAATGGGAAATGTTTTATTTTTCCTTCACTTTTGGGTTTTTCTGTTTMATTTTTTATCATTTCATTTCTGAACACATTCTTGTTCCAGCATTGTTGTAATATTAACTTCAAAATAAATCATAAGATATGGAAAATATATTACTAAGTATTGCTTCCCATTTACTTTTCCTATAGTAGTTTTTGGGAAAAGGAAAAGGCTTTCATACTGCTGAATGGAAGTGTAGCACAATGATTCTGCCTTAGAGGTGTCATATGTTCCATGTTAGATGTTTTCRTTGATTTGCTTCCTTGGTTGGGGTTGTTTTAGGGGGCTCTTTTTGTTTTGATYTGATTTTTTTTGGATGCGCTAGAGCTGGAAGTATCTCTGTATTCCACATTGTTTGGCTCCAGTTCAGTGTGCAAGCAGGACTTGTCGGGAGATGGGAAATTGCTTTTGTTCTTTATACTTTTTTTTTAAGTTTTACTTTCTTTTGTATTTGATGTGATTATGTGCCTTTAAAATGTTCTCCCCTCCATTCTGCCCTTGTATCTTTGCAGTCATTGTATACAGCAGATTCTAGAAAGTGTTAATCATTGTCACCTAAATGGCATAGTGCACAGAGACCTGAAGGTCAGTATCTGGTGCCCATCAATTGGATAAGACTTTTTGTTTTGTTTTGTTTTTCGCTGGGCAGGGGCTGAGGGTGGGTGCTGCAATGTTCCCTTGCCTCTCCTGCTCACTCTCCAAACAACTCGAGGAGCCAATAATGCATGATGCCTCTTTCCAGTTTGCAAGTCTACAGGCCTAATACACCTCATGGCACAAGGGGGAATGGTTGCCAAAACAGTGTCTCCTTCCAAGGTGCTGGATTGATGCCGTGCTGTCGAACTGGTATTTCCTTAGGGGTTTCCGTGTCCCGCTGTGCTGGCATGCGGAGGTGGCCGTTGGCTGTGATGTGTGTCAGCTTGCAGATGTACCCCCACATCTGACGTTCCAGATGTACCCCCACATCTGACGTTCCGAGACGGGCTCGCGGCAGCAGAACAAGCGGCCGCGCGTTGCTGCACCAGAGGGTGACGAGTCCTCAGGCAAGCGATGATGCTGCCGGCTAAATTGGACGGGAGAAGTTAATAATTGATCGAAAGCTCCTCACTTGCGGGGTTTTCACCTCAGCGGCCACCACAGTTACTAATGTCTCTGAGTGAGTGCTCAGCGAGTAAAGGAGGAAAGAGCAGAGGAGACAAAATATTTAATATGACCTTGGCAACTGTGCATTGGCAGACGTTCACAGCTTGTATGCATTTCCTAAAATTTTCCTTAAAAAAAAAAAAACATTTATAAACCTCAAAAAAT